TATTTAGCCTAAACAATTTCATTTCTGAACAAATCGAAATGAAGTAGGGTTATTTTCAGCTTTCACTTTTTAACTTGCAAAGCTTGACCAATAACATCTCAAACTATGTCTATAAACAATTTTTTTTGGTTAAAAATGGTGATGTATTTCACTAATGATGAGTATGGACATGGATTTTGAATTGGGGCAATTGCATGGGTGCTCCCACTTTCAAAATCAATTGCTGTTTTACCCTCACCTGTTAGGGTTTACAGTTTTACCTTACTTTTTAATCTGAATCAGTCGTGTACCTCTACTTCTAACAACCGGTTTTAACGGTGTTAGTTGTAGAAAAAGGACATTTATACCCTTGGTGGTTATTGTATTTTTGCCCCTATTTTTTCAGCTTGGTGTGATTTTGCTCCTATTTTTTGATTTTAGCTTGTGTGATGAGCATTTTGACCAAATATGAGCATCTCTTGTGACTTTTTGTACTTTAACAAAAAAAAAATCACAAATACTATGCAATTACAAAATTTGAACAAAAATCACAAATACTACTAGCATTCATCGTCGATGCTAGTCTGGACCATGAAGAGGACGACGCATGCGTTGGTGAGGAACTGCAGCGGCGGCGCAAGGTAGTCGAGGCGAAGGCGCATCCACCCGACGTAAGAGGCCGTCGATGGCGAGGGGCGACGCCACCTCCTCGAGGTGCCATACCTAGAGGTAGGCGGCGACCTCGACGCGGCCGCCGCCGACTCGCGCTCGCCCGTGGCTGCCGCCGCCTTCGTCTCGCCCGCGCCCGCGGCCGCCGCCTCACCCGCCCGCTCGCGCCCACGTCCGCCGCCTCCACGCGCGCAAGGACCAATCCGGTAGGAGAGGAGAGCTGGTTGGATGCTTATCCATTCCCTCAAGGGTATAATGGTAAATTGATATTTCATAAATCATTTTTTTCATTTCCATTTGTTTTTTAACCCAAAAAAGTAGGGCCCACCTAACGGGTGTTAAAACTGAGGGCAAACGGCTGGTTCGTTTTCAAAAAGTGAGTGTAAAACTGTAAACCCTAAAAATGGGGTAAAACAGTAGTTGGGGTTGAAAGTGAGGGCATAGATGCAATTGTCCCTTTTGAATTAGGGTTTGTGTTAGTTTGTATCCTCTCTTATTATAAAGTTGCCTACTAATTCCTAAAGCTTAACATGCAAAGATACCACATTATCATCTACTAACAATTATTATATTTAAGCATCATTCAAGAATGCTATATTATCTATAATTTAATAATTTATTAAATTTTAGATATTTAAAATGTAAGCATGTTAAATCGTCCCACATAATTCATATAATATTTCAATATATCTCTTCATCATTTTTTTAATATCCTATATATCTATATAGTTCATACTTACTTAATTCATGTTATTTTTCTTTTCTCTCATTAAGTCATATCACATTAATTGCTTTTAGTACTTACATGATTAATCTATGCTTCAAATTGTCTCTTTTCTTTTCTTCTCTCATTAACCCATATCATCTCAATTTTTTTAACCCTTAGATGTATGGTCTAAATTATCTTCCTTCTTTTGTTCTCTCACAATGCCACATCATCTTACTTTTACATTTGAATCATTCTACATACTATTTAAATTTAAATCACATCAACTTATGTAAACTTATGTTTATGTAAGCCTATGTTGTTTAAGCTATCTTACACATTATTTTCATTTATTGATATCTCTACAATTATAAAAATTGAAGATGTTTTTGCCGGTCCTTTGTTACGTCATCCGTGTATGAGTCATCTATGAGTTTGTTCGCTTATGAAAATACATATCCGTATTTGAGTTGGTTTTTAAGTTCGTTCGTTTTTGGAAATACAGAAGGAGTTGTATAAGAAAACTCGCATGCTAACTTTAGATGAACAGACTACTAACCGCAGCTCATAATTTTTTAAAAATGTATAGATCCAAGAAAATTCCTATAGTAAATTTCATCTTAACTAAACCATATAACAATAATAAAATTAAAATAGTTTTCACCCGTTGCAACACACGGGCTTTTTCTCTGGTCATAATAAATTTTCGCAGCAACGTGTGGGATTTCACACTACATGGATAGTACCCACATGGTATTGTAGCAACGAGCACTACTGAATTGGGCCCCTGCTACAGGTTAGGAATTAAGACAAAAACTAGTAGTTTCCTTATAAATTAGATTGGCATGGTTCCTTGATTTTAACTGCCTTCATCCTCATGGTGCGGATTTCGTGATCCACGCGTACATGTCGACAAGCCAAATTGCACGCACGCGACACACGCGGTTTCTTCGAGGCACACACACGTACAGTAACTAACCGTGTTAGATTTGGATATGGTGGTAATTAAGGTAAGATTTTCCTTTTCTTTTGTTGTTTTTTTTCTAACATATTGAAAAAAATCTATTCGTGAAACTAAAACTTACATAAAAAAATTATAATTTTCTATTTAAAAGTTAAAAGCCATACTAAAAATTTAAAACATTCAACTCAAAATTTGAAATTCTAAACTCAAAATTTGAACTTTCATGTTGAAATGTGAAAACTTTCGACTCCAGATTTAAACTTTGTAGCTAAATTTTAACAACTTTCAATTTAAACTTTGAAAACTTTCAACTCGAAATTTAAATGTGTAAGTAAAATTTTGAAAACTTTAAACTTTTCATCTCATATTACGCTCTTATAAATCCACTTAGAAATCATGTGTTTGTGTTTTAGAAAATGGGATAAATGCAGCCTACATACTCAGCCAATTGAAAACCAGTTTTGCTAGAAATCTGTCGACAAATTTTTCCGTTGAAATTTGTCGATTTTCCAACCGTCAAATTAACCTCGAGATACGTGTGTGTTTTTGTTTCTTCGGCATCCGAGGGGCTCAGAGAAGCTGCTCGTGTGTAGATAGCAAACGCACAGCACGGTCACACTCACACATGTCCAGATGTCCTCGATCGTGCACCTTTTCCTTTTCAGTTTACAAGTACCTGTGAACTCTATTATCATGCGAGCAGTGCACAATCTCTGCTCTAACAAGGTTTTAAATTGATTTCTTTAACTGTTGAAAAAAATAAAATATTTGAAACTCAAATAAAATATAAAATATAAACTTACAGTCCTCTATAACTAAAATTACATTTGTAAATTCAGTTGATATGACATGTAAGTACACTGTAATTTTAATAAAAATGATGCGTAAGCAAATATGTATTTGTTATTCTATTTAAAATATAAAATTACAGTCTTATATAACTAAAATTACATTTGTAAATTCAGTTCATATGACATGTAAGTGTACTGCAATTTTGATAAAAATGTTATGTAAGAAAATATGTATTTGTTATTCTCTTTAAAATATAAAATTACAATCCTATATAACTAAAATTACATTTGTAAATTCAGTTCATATGACATGTAAGTGCACTGTAATTTTGATAAAAATAATGTGTAAGTAATATATATTTGCTATTTTCTTTTTTAGTCCGTTGGATGTAAATCTAAGGGTGAAAAAAATCTGGGTGATTTTTTGTTAGAAATCACCTGACAAATGGATAGGCAGTCCCGTTTTCCTATTTATCTAGACTTTCAGCTGCAATGATATTATCACTGCTTATGATATGTCTACTTTATATTCATTGTGCTAAATCAAAATGAGTAAATACATATACAATATAGCTACATGTCTGTCTATCTTTTGTGTTATTATGTGCTTTTATGTTGATACAATTCATTACCTATGAAAAACCAAATTTAAGCTATTTTTGTTTATAATCACGATCACTTGTCAAGTTGGCCCTCCTCATTTTCAAATCGTGGCTTCGTCACTGATAGGAGTGTCAAAATGGTTAATGATGTAATTTTGTGAAACTTTAGGATCGTAATACCCGAAATAATGTGCCACGTGACAAAATCCCTACGTTGTTATATAACTTGAACCATAATTGACGAGGTTTTATGAAATTTACTCAATATTTTTATACCTCCTGGTACCTTGATACAAATGAGTCGCTATGCGTGATGATCGATATTGTATTGAGGATATAAGAAAAAATGTTGCTATGGCCTCATTTACATCTTACTAGTTTATTTGTTAGGATCAATGTTTTAGAAAGCCAGTTTTTGCAAAGGTAACAATCGCCTAATAGCTAGGCCGGTAATCAGCGATCAAAATTCTAGAAGTCCAAATCCAAATATTAGAATTTAAATATAATGGTTACCGACCAGTGACTTGTTGGGAAAAAAAATATGTTTGGCATTCTTGTAATTTATACATTGAGATAATCATCATACATGAATCCATGATAAATGAAAACGGCAAAACTTGCAGGAGGTGGAGATATCCTAGCAACGGGTATTACCGTATTACACATGTGACAGCATGTAAACGACACTCAATTGTAAATTGAAAAATAAAATTTAAATTTAAACTATTTCAACCAGTGACTGGCTTTCAACTAGTTGCCGGTAACGGCCAGTGTTCTGAATTTTGATCTGGATTATTGAAAAGGGAAAAAGTTCGCGAAAAACAAATACTATCTTTGAAAAGTGTAGAACAACTTCCTTTTGTGAGGAATAGCATTTAACTTCGGCTAGTGGGTATTAGCTGATACAGGAACCATACTTGGCAGAACATCCCTTACTTCCAGCATCGCCACTTCCATGATTAAACAAAAATTAGCATTCCTGATAAGTTATTCTCAATTTATATGAAAAAAGAGTTCCTTGGAAACAATAGCAAGGATAAAATAATGTTATACTTTTACATCATAAAAAACTAATCGATTTTGAGAAAAATCATGAGGGGAAATTTATAGTTGTAACAGAAAAAACGTGCAGAATCTTGTACTCTTCTGTGTATACTATGAGTGGAAACAACTCTTCAACTATACTCCCTCCGTCATAAATTATAAGACCTATAATTTTTTTACACAGTCTTCAATAAGATACTTTAACCATAAATTTATTCCTTGTTATGTACCTAACAAATATGAAATTAGCATCACATGAAAGTACTTTAAAGTATGAATCTAGTGATATAACATACATAATACTTAAGATATATATGGTTAGTACTGAGTTTGATTTTTACTTAAAAAGTTGGCGTCCTATAATTTGGGACGGAGAGAGTACCATTCAATATCCATATGTTACATTTTGCTACCTCCAAAAAAAAAACTTGCATTTGCTGTGGAGACGCCATGCACTCTAACTCGAACCACCATTTTTCATTTTGGCTTCAAGGTTCTTTACAACATTAGTAAGAGATCTTACTTCTCGAGATTTACCCAGTTTACCATCGATGTCTTGCTGCAGAACAAAACCAGATTATTTCAGTAAATCATATTGCTGCAGTCCATGTATGTCTTCTTTTTCAGAATAGTTTGACAAAATGTTTCCAAGTCAAGAAAAGAGGGAAACCATTTGAATTGAAAAGCATATGTTACACATTGTAAATTAACAAAATCAGGAGCCTAACCTTTTCCAGCAGTAGAGCATGGTCCTTGAACCCCTCATCTGTAAAACCTTTCTTATGAATAGCCTTGAGGACTTTAAGGAGGTGTGGCTGAAGAAACTCAGAACAGTGCTGCTCAAGATTACGCTCAGGGAAGGAGGAATCACAGCCAAAGGGGCACTTCATGGGCCTCATGGGGCACACGGTCACGCAGTGCCTATCCATATCGCGTCTCATGAGCCGCTTCTCGCAGCTCTGCTCACATGTAAGGATCTTGAAGAGGCAAGCAGAATCATGGTCTGTCATGCAGCGAACTGAAACTTTGGCTCGGCATCCGTCATTGGGGCAAGTAACAGGTCTGAAGCTACATTGGGCCTTATGATCAGCGAGACGCTGCTCATTCTCATACTTCTCAGGGCAGTGGTACTTGGTTTTCAGGTCTACATTCTTGAGGAGGACCTCAGCAATGGCCTCTCTCCTTTCCAGCGGCCAGAATCGGGTCATCTCCATTTCTTGGACGAAGTCATCGATCTTGTCCTCGCGGTTGTCGCTCATCAGCCACCCAGAGACATGGCCGATGATGTTCCTCTTGGTGCTGCTGAAATCGTCCATGAAGATGGACACGACCTCGAACGGGTCCTCCGGCATCTCCTTCTCCTCATCCTGGCTCGCCTCCGATTCGATGAGCGAATCGGATATGAACGTCTCGCTCCTCTGCGTCACGTAGTCCACCATCTCCTTCCTCATGTCGACGGCCACCACCGATGGCTTCCTGAAGAGATCGCCCGTCGTGCAGTCGATGGATACCGCGGCCAAGCCCGGGAGCAACAGCTGCGCAAGCTTGTGCATTGCCTCTGAATCACAATAGGGACACTGCAGGAGCAATCCTTCAGACCTCACCGGCCCAGGTTCAGTAACTGGGAGCTCCATTTCACAAAACACCTGCATATATAGGTTGACTTCAGATCAAGCAACATTCATATATATATATGCTCAAGTCAAGATCAAGATTGGAAATGCCTGTATCACCCAGCATTTCGGAATTAAATATATAATTTAATTACTAGATATATCAGAAAAATTGCTATGTTCAAATCGAATTCGTCCTAGAATCTAGTACTATCTATCTTCGATGAAATATATGATTTACTAGGAGGATGATCATGTATAAAAGAATTCAGAGTTTCAGACACCAAGAGGACACATTGCAACTAATTAATCCCCCATTACAGTATGACCAATCTCCTTGCCCTCAATCAACACGAGCATCTTTACCAAGAAACAGCGTTAACACACGCCGGAGCGAGAGAGAGAGAGAGATACGATAGAGAGAGACAAACTTGAAAAAATAGATTTAGTTGATATTTTAAAACAATTAGCAAAACAACGCGAGGAGGAAAGGATCACGGGTGGATCGCTCACCGCCGCGGAGGGAGAGGACTCGGTTGATCGGCGCAGGTGTACGTCGCCTCTCGCTTTGGTGGAAGGGCGACGAGGAGAGGGAGAGGAGAGGGAGAGGAGAGGTGTGGCCCAAGGAGGCAACGACAAGCAAGGGGAGACCGACCGACCGGGTCACCACTCACCAGGAACGCATGCGGCAAGAGAAGAGGAAACCCTTTCTTATTTAGGAATTTATTTATTTATTTTTATTGCTAAAGAAAACTGAATATTCCATACCTAAATTTTGTATTCTATCTAACTTTCACCTCTTCCGTTTTGCTAATACTCCGTCCGGTATAACGGTTACAACTTTGATTATATATTTTACATTATAGTAATTAATAATAAATTAATAACACCTGCGAAATTAGCATAACTCAATTGATTGGATTAGATTTATTGGAGTGGAACTGCCCAGTTGTGTTTAATTTATAAACTTACACTACTACACAAAAGTCCAAAGGTACCGGTTCCTAAAGGCTTATAGGTGCCCGTTTTTCATCCGACACTAATTGGTCGGCACCAATAATAGCAACCAACACCTATAACAAAAATAAGAACCGGCACCTTTACCATTGCTCAAGCCAAAAAAAAAAGTGAGCCAGCTTGAATCCGAGCCGAACTCACCAAGCGGCGCCATCACAGGGCATGCGGCCCAAACCCCAAAATCATCCACAAATCATTACCAAAATAAATTAAATCACAGAATGAACATATTCAACAACAAATTCACACAAACATCAACAAATTCCACCGCCCGCCGCTCCCCCCCCCGCCGGGCGCCGCCGCAACCCGTCGCCTGCCGCCTGCTGCCTCCCCTCCCACCGGATCCGGTGGAGGGGAGACCGCCGCCGCCGCCCGTCGCCCGCCACGATGCGCCGCCGCCTCCCCTCCAGCCATCGCCACGTGCTGAGATATTTTGAGAGAGCTGAGAGTGAGAGAGAGAGAGAGAGACGAGAGAGATGGGAGAGGGGATAAGGCTCTCATATAGGCCGATGTGTTGCCCACTCGTCCGTCGGCTAGATTGGCTCGGTGGCTCGGCTCGGTTTGGATAGGTGTCGGTTTTCTAAAAAAACCGGCACCTATAATATATTAAAGGTGCCAGTTTTTATAAAAAACTGGCACCTATACTATACGTGACGGATTTTCTTTAGAACCGACACCTATAGTTACTTAAATGTGCCAGTTTTACGTGCTTTTAGCCCGTGGACGCGGTAAAATCACTATAGGTGCCGGTTTTAGCTGTTCCGGCACCTATAGTGCCGATCTTTATGGGCTTTTTTAGTAGTGTTAACACGGGTGCTCGCATTTACAACTAATTTTTTTCAGTAATAGGAGACGTAATCAACGACAACGAGGCCTCCGTAGTAATAATTTTTCTTTCAATGGCAAATAACATACCCGTCGACAACGGAGTGTCCATGATGATAATCTCTTTCAGGGCAAGCGGCGTACCCGTCAACAACGTTCCATCAACAATGAGACATATCCGTGGAGACGCTTATATACATAATTATCATGACTTCTTGCGTAGCTACACTTTCCGTAAAATATGATCTACAAATACTTATTTACACTTTTGTTATTATAAGGCCCTGTTCTATTCTTCAACTTGGAACTTCAATTTCCTCTTTTCCGTTAGCACGCTTTTCAAACTGTTAAATGGTGTATTTTTTTAACAAAATCTATATAGAAGTAGTTTTAAAAAAATAAATCTATTTTTCAAATTTATAATAGTTAATATTTAATTAATCATATGCTAATGACGCTTCTTTATTCGCGAGCACTACAATTTCTTCTCCAGTTGGAAGAATCGAACGAAGCCTAAGTTGAATCTAATTACTATAAACAGCACGTAAACACATCTAACATAGAGGGAGGTTACAGCCGCGCAAAAGTGCAACTTACTACCTCCGCCGTTGACTTTTTCTCACATGTTTGACCATTCGTCTTATTCAAAAAATTTATGTAATTATAATTTATTTTGTTATGAGTTGTTTTATCACTTATAGTACTTTAAGTGTGATTTATATCTTATATATTTGCATAAAATTTTTGAATAAGACGAATGGTCAAACATGTAAGAAAAAGTCAACGGCGTCATCTATTAAAAAACGGAGGGAGTAATAAACTAGTACCTAGTAGAAAGATGGTTATCAAAGTGTGTTCACGGTAGTTTTAACTATTTAAAAATTATTGACGGTAAAAGATAAAATACTAGTAAACGTTTTATCATGAACGCCTCTTTCAAATTAAAATAAGTTTACAAAACAACAGAGTAGTATTATGTTGTATAAGTATATGGCTAAAAGGAACCATTATATTCACTATGATAACCTAAAGTAATAACCTTGGTTTTCAAATAGATCGTGTCGTTAACTTTTGGATACACGTTTGACCATTAATCTTATTTAAAAATTTTACGTAATTATTATTTATTGTGTTGAGAGTTGTTTTATCACTAAAGTATTTTAAACATGATTTATACCTTGTGCATTAGCATAAAATTTTTATCAAACGAAAGTCCAAAAGTCAATGTATCATTTATTAAAAACGGAGGGAGAACTGGTGTATTAGCTGATGAAAAAAAAAGAACACATTTTTTTCTTGGAGTAAAGGCTATCTAACTTTCAAAGAAAGTTGAAATATATTGCATTTGCTTATGTGCTAACCACATTAATTTTCTAGTTGGTTCAAATTATAGATGTATACATTGAATGAAGAAAATGAGTTTGTTGACAAAATTCAGTAATGTTTCTAGAAAAAATAGAAGAAAATGGGTTGTGAACCAGATATATATTGATTGATACATATATACTCCCTCCATCTACTTTTGATAGTCATATTTCCAAATCTAAAAAATCTATTTTTGATAAGCATATTTCAATCCAACAACCTATCATCTTAATGACTTTCTCGGATTTAATACATGACTCTCCATTCTTCCACACAAGATTGGTTACATGGGCATCGAGAAATGTAAATATTAATGAATCACTTGTTTACGAGGAATGACTAGTAGCATGTTTAAATGGATGATAAGTAGAATTAATTATCCTTGGTCTGTGTGTCAAGATGAAATATGACTATCAAAAGTAGATGGAGGGAGTAGTTGTATAAAAAAAGGCATATTTATAAAATAGTAGCAAAATACAATTATGTTTTTAAATATACTTTAAATCTATTTTCTTGGGTCATGCACTACCACCTTATCAATTGGCCTTTCCACCAGCATTTCTCCACTTATAACGATCGAGTTAATCCAAATGCAGTGGAGCAAATAAAAGCTGCTAATTCAAATAAAGACACGTGATCAACGACACTTCACTTTAAATATCACCAAAATATTCATATTAATTGGGAGTACAAACAACAAATATTAAAAAATAAATCAGGTCTTAACTTGTTAAATAGTATTATTGTTTTTCATAAACATGCTATAGTATAAACTAGTGATCAATATGACAATGTTGAAAAGGAGACAGTTTTGTGACCGGAGGAAATAATTAATTCATAACTAAATTTTATAAACAATACTTCAAATGAAAAAAAAATCAAACAATTTTTCTTTTGACAAACACGGTGCAAACGTAGACGCTTCCAATGCATGCACACTCACCCTAATAAACGAACACACGCACATCCTATATTCCTACTTTTATGAACACCTCCTAGACTAGACGGACATACTCCCTCCATTCTAAATTGATTTACATATAATTTTTTTGAGGTTATTCCTAAATAATCATCATATTTGTGTTCATTCATTAAGTCTATTCGTTATTTGTGCATTGGAGTAAATAGACATTGATGCATGCCTCTATGCACACAAGTATTTATAACCCACATGCAATATCTTGATTTGCTATTGGCTAGGAAATAGTGGGGATGGTGCATGCATTGAGTTTGTTGCTAGAGTAAATATAATATGAGAGAGTTATTAGCTTTTCTTGGTCTTAGTGTACCTATGAAATATATAGATAAATTTGGAATGGAGGGAGTATCTAGCAAAGTCATCTTAAACGTCGCGTACCACTGAAAATATTGGTTCCTCTAAATGAGACGCGCGTAAACATTGATTCTTTTCCTGCTTCTTGAGAGCGAGAGCGTCGACTTGCACTTGGCACCTATTACTCGTATACACTACTCAAGTAATCACTTTCAAGTTTATAGTGCTCGACAGTCGACACTCGCATGCGTGCACGTGGCCGTGCCTAACTAGTCGTCCAGTAAGGAGTTAGAGTAATTATTACTACTAACACTTAATTATCGGCTAGCGATTGCTTTGGGATCGAACTGATTTATGCAACGCGTGATTAACGACATGGATTTAATTGGCTCGATATATTTGCCACATCGGTTGATCATATCTATCAATATGATGTAAAAGTGCAAAAGCACCATTAATTGAAGGTTCTTTAATTTTTTTTTCAAGCCTCACCAAGTGAGAATAATTAAACGTGCCATAACCGCACTTAATTGTGTCACAATTAGAGGGGAGAAATGGATTAAAAAAATTAAGGAATCTGGTCCTTGTCATAAACGAATCTCGTAATTGAGTGCTTATTACTGCTTTTTCTGCATTTTCAAAAGTAACTGTCCACGTGTGAATTTACAAAATCATATCACCTTTTGAATTAAAAATTGGTTGGTATATATATAGTTAATTGCACTGGTTTATTTTGAGCTACCATCTAACTAATATTTTCACTTTATACTAGATAGATAGTCTTTGTTACACTTTAAACCAGCTCATGCCACTCATCTATCTGCATGCCCTGAATTTTTTATATTTTGATCCTTTTTGAAAACTTATTTTACAAATAGACCCCTGAGAAAACTTAACCCGGAAATGGTCTTTTTTGGGGCGGCAGAGCGGCTGGCCCCGTACCCCAACATGGCGGCGCCAGCCACACTGGCGCCGAGCCCGTGCCACCGTGGCACTAGGGCTGTCCGGAGGTGCTGACTGGGCAGAAGGGGGGCGCCAGCCAAATTGGCGCCGCCCCTCATACCACGGCGCCAGCACGGCTGGCGTGCCCCTCCTCTGCGGGCCCCACCAACTTTCTCCCCCCCCCCCAATTTTTTTGCAAAGTCTGTTCTGCCTCCGGGCAAAGGCTGGCGCCCCCCCCGGCAGACCGCGGCGCCAGGGTGGCT